CCAATCTTCACCATGAGTTAACCTGTGCAGATTGGACTCACCTGGTTAATTGGCTGGGTAGATTAAATACATGACATGGAAATGACTTGTTGACACCACATTGCCCATGTCTGGCCTATAATATCTGAAACCTGTCTATGTTTCTGAGGGTCGGTCGTTAAAGGGGGGGGATTGTCTCCTGTAATGCCTGAAACCTGTCTATGATTGTTAAGAGTCGGTCGTTAAGGAGGTATTGTTCACCGGCTGGGGCGGGTAGGTCCCTCGTTCCTCTGTGATGGGGTGGGGGGTTTGGTGATATTTGGAAGGGATCATGTCCGTGATTGAATTGTATGTTTTTGGAAGCTGGAATCTGAGTCCACCACCTCTGTTTAAGGTTGTTTTTTCTCTCTTAACATAGATGGCTTCCTTCACGCCCCTCTCAAACCAACTATTTTCTTTATCCAAAATATGAACATTCTGGTCCTCAAAAGAATGTCCTTTGTCCACAAGGTGTAGGTGTAGTGCGGAGTGTTGTCCAGAGGAGAGCGCTCTTCTGTGTTGGGCCATGCGTCTGTGGAGATGTTGTTTGGTTTCTCCAATATAAAGAACAGAGCATTACTCACTGCATTGAACAGCATATACCACTCTGCTCATATTCAGTCTGGGGGTTTTATCTTTAGGATGCACTAGCCTCTGTTTAAGGGTTTGGTTTGGCTTGAAATGTACTGGGATCTTGTGTTTGGAGAAAATCCTCTTGAGCTTTTCAGACACTCCAGCAACATAAGGGATTGTGATTTTCACATGGAGTTTTTCAAAAAGAGAGAAACAGCTTATTGGTGAAATACTTTCCCATGATTTACCACATGCCTGACACCTTAAATACTTTAGAGTAGTAGCCATTCAAAATTTCCCCACTTTCCTTGGCTGGTCCCCTACAATTCATTTTTAAACATCAAGCTTTGCATTAAAATATTCTTTCTGTCATGATTTGTGGACATGGAGATTTAAAGAGAAGCGCCGTCTCCTGATCATACCTTGTAATTCAGTGAAAGGGTGGAGTCAGTGTAAAAAAATATGCACACCCAGGAGAAAGAGGGGGTCACTCCAATGGCTGGAAGTTGGAGGGAAGTGGGCCACCATTGGGCTGGCGTTTGCCCAGGAAGGGCTATTTTGAATGGCTGCTGCTGTACCAAATGCATATAGACATTATATGTAAGCTTTTTACATCTAAATCCCACACCCAGCCCCTAATCATAGCATTTTGGCTCAAATGGGACTTCTTTATGTGATCATGATGCCTTTTAGAAATCATGCAACTGCACAGCTGTGAGAGCCTCTTCTTCATTCCAGATGTTTTTTCCATAGCTGTTGCTTTTTCAAAACATCAATGGCATCTTTTGATGGGATGATAGCTGGCTACCTGTCTTTGAATAGCAAGTCCCCGCCAGCCGTTCTCCTGAAGCTCCCTGTTAGAATCCAGCTGAGGCTGACTAACTCATTTGTGTGAAGTGGTGACGTGTTGGAGGCTCAGCAGGATTTCTCTGTTAAGCTTCGGATCTCCAATAACTGGCATTTTGCATCCCGTTCTTTTACTTCTACGTTAATGGTAGAGAAGAAAAAGGTCTTAGAGGAAACCGTGTTGAAGTCAGAAGTGATTCAATTTTCACAAATGTTGAGGAACAAGCAGAAATGATTTCCCTTTTCAACACCTTTTACTCAGTTTGCTTAATTTGGGATTTTGATTTCCTGGAATACGGGCAAGAACAAACACCAGGTGCACTTCCAAAATCTTCCCTGTGTCATTGCTTCGCTTTGGTTAATGCTTAAAAGCATATGAGGCTCATGGAAAAAGGATATTCTTGGATTAAAAAGATTATGTGTTTCCTTAAACCTGCCAAGAGGAGCAGAATAGGAAAAGCAAGTAGTGTTTGGAAAGGCTTCTTTTTAAAGACTGAGCAAATAAATAAGTTTATTTTATGTGCCTGGACTTGTTTATAACTGCTTGTATACAGATCATTTGTAAAGAACAAGTTATTCTAAAAGAATAGCATGAAATCAAATCAGGACACAGCTTCATCTGATTCCAGACAAAAATTCTGACCAGAACCATGAATATCATAAACATCATCACCATGAATCTTTAACCCTCCTCACCTCTGAGGTTAGGAAGGAAACAACAGTTTGTGGAGCTTAAGAACAAGGGTCCCGCATAGCTTTATCTCTTACACTATGAGACTCTTAAACCACAGGCCTCACATGAAATATCATTTAGCCACCATCTTAGCCCTGGTTTCACTTGGTGTCTTTATTTAATGTGCAATATATGCAATTTCAACTAAATTAACATCTTGCATTATTACAGTAGTAGGCATTCAATATTTCCCCATTTTCCTTGATGGGCCCTTGGCTGGTCCCCTACAATTCCTTTTTAAACATCAATATTTGTACTAAAATATTCTTTCTGTCATGTTTTGTGGACATTAAGATCTAAAGAGACAGTGTATTCTCATTATCAGTTCGTATGAAATCGTACGAAAAGTTATGCACAGTAATTTTGGACGTTTTTGACTTTTTTTTCGTTGTACGTCCTCGTATTTTTACGTCGTGCCTTGAGACAAGATATCCTTGTTACGCACCATTCAATAACATAGAATTTAACATACAATTAACCCCAACCCTTACCCAAACCCTATCCCTAACTTACAAAACAGCAAGCAACCTAGTGAGAGACATCAAGAAGTAATTACTGCACTGTTTTTCCCAGTTTTACGTCCGTCCGCGGATCTGCTTTTTTCGCCTGTCTGGCTGCGCATGCGCACTGATCTGTTTTTTCGAGGAAAAACGTCCAAAACATACAAAATACTGTGCATAACTTCTCGTACGATTTCATACAAACTGATAATGAGAATATGTTGAAAGAGAAGAGAATCTGGTCAGACCCTGTAATTCAGTTAAAAGGTGGAGAGTAAAAAAATATGCACGCCCTGGAGAAGGAGGGGGGTCACTCCAGTGGCTGGAAGTTGGAGTGAATTTTGCTTGAATTTTGCTAGTTGAAGGGAAGTCGACGACCATTCAGCTGGTGTTTGGGAAGGGCAATTTTGAATGGCTGCTTCTCTACATGTACAACTCCCATGTATTTTGCTTCTTTTATGTTATATTTTCTAATAATTCAAAGATAGCTATGTTTCCAATTTCCTACGTTTCTTAAAATTACTTCCTTCCTCTTGAACCTTTCCCTGGGCCTGTTGCTACAAAAGCTCCTCTAAATATGTTCTTGCTGATGCAGATCTCAACAACAAGATAAGTGTTGTGCTTTGAAATTGTTGCTACCTATTCTGACTCCTTCCTTTGTCCACTACCTCCTTAACAGCAGAAGCTCTTGCAGCGCTGCTGCTCATTGAACTGACATTGCTTTCCTTTCCATTGCAGTTAAAAAGAACCAAAAAAGCAAAACAGAGTTTCTCATCATAGTATAATTACAAATATGTTTCAATTTTGACAGGACTTCACCTGGTTAAATATATAAATATATTTAAGGAAGCTTTTGAAGTGTAACAACACAAAATCTAACTTCCTTTACATAAATAAATAAACAAAATGAAAACTAAATCAATTGAAAATTTCTTCCTTACCTAAATGTATTACTTTATATTTATAATTTAAAGGAAGCGTTTCTATTTAAACAGTTTTGGAATCATGCATCATATTGTCATTTATATGAAATTTGTAAAAGGCTTGTAACAGTACTATTTCATAAAGAGCAGCATATAAATATGGAAGAGGATTAGGGCCACTGAGGAAAAAAAAAAAAAAAAGTTAACTGATTTTTACATTTTATTTCATTTTACATTTTATTTTCACTTTAGAATTCTGACTTTAATCTCAGAATTCTCACTTCTGTCAGAATTCAGTAACAATTCTGAGATTAAAGTCAGAATTCTGAGATTAAATTCAGAATTCTGACTTTTTCCCATACTAAACTGAAATAAAATTTAAAAATCAGTTAACTTTTTTTTTTCAGTGGCCCTAATCCTCTTCCGTATATAAAAAATATGAATTATTAAAAAAAATTTTAGTCAGGACCTGACTGTCACTTTAAATTACAAACTTGATATGACTACCTCAGTTGAGGTACATGACAGTCTGGCGAGGCATATTATTATTAATGATGTTATTAGAAAATGGTTGAAACAGTGAAGTACTATGACAATATACGGTACTAAACTTAATATAGATCCAGTAAAAAAAATTTAAGAAACAAGATGCTACAAAAGCACTAATGCATTTTAATGTGTATTTATTTCACTATAAAAGTAGATTTTGCTATGGTTGCCCCCTTTTTGGCCCATGCACCTGCCTCAAAAAATGTCTGTGCATGTACCTGTATATGAAAAGAAAAATGAAAATAATAGATTATTTAATACTTTCCTAAGATGCATTTTTTTTTCTCTCCATCTTGTTCTTTTGTATTTTCAAGTGATATTTTGCTGAAGCAGAGCGTAGTCTCGGTGAAGTTCAATTCTCTAAAATGTCAGACACGTTGTTAAAAGGTCAAAGGTACATTTTTAATGTGTTCATAACAAAAGATGAAACCTTTCAGAAGAAAATCTCAAGGATTGCTGCCATCTCAGACTTTGCTGTTATATGTTAAACCTTAAATCTATGATAAACCTTGAATCAAGTCAATTTTTAGAACAAGTGTAAACAGATTAAAAATGAATTTTACATGTGCGAATGAAAATGTTATTGCCTTGTAACACGTGTCTTAGCTTTGAGTCAAAACCCACAAACCATGCAGACTGAGATGTTGCACTCCAGTGAGCATAAAAATTTCATCCCTGAGTTTCGTCTACAGAGGCGTTTTGGCTGAACATTGTGGGTTCTTTGAGCAGGCGAGGCAACAGAACTTTGAGCACTGCTTTATTGTGCTGTGGCCCCGTGTCACCGCTTCTCGAGATGAAAGCATAAAGGAAAAAACTAATGTATATTTTCTTCTTCTTTCCTTTCTTTTCCTTACTCAGCTGCCATTCAGGTGCAAATCACTCCATCGCAAGGGGAAATCAGCGTTGGAGAGTCCAAGTTTTTCCTCTGCGAAGGTAAGAACTGTCAATTAATCCAGAAATATTCCCAACTGGAACCCTTTTTAAACAATTTTAATCGAAAGGGAAATTACTTAGCTGTTATATATTACATTGTCATTATCCCCCACCCAGGATTATAGTTCTGGAAATATGTGTCATTCAGGAGGTTGAGTGCACAAAAATCTTTGGGTCTGAAAGGAGGTGACTGGAGTCTGCAGGAGGGAGGGAGAGGGAACCAACCCAGCCAGGCTTGGCTTCAGTCGCAGTCAAGCAAACATGTCTGAATATTTTGAGGCAGCTCTAAATACATACAGATATGGAGTAACAACAGCAGCTGGGCCACAATATCAGCTGTGAGCTGGCATAATACTTTATATTTAAACACAATTATTAACATGAATCCACAGCAGTGCTATATATGGTTAAAATCTATAAATTAACCATCAACACAATTTTTATTTAGTAGATAGTTGCAAAGAAATTTTTTTTTTTTTTTTTGCAAAGAGGTTTTTTATGAGAGTTAGATCTCTTTGTCATGTTGGGATTGAGATGTCTAACCCACATGCAGAGAACACTCAGGAGATAGAGAAAAAGTTCAAAGGTTTATTGACAGAGTTTTCAAATGTGCACTGGAACTGGGTTGGTCCGACTGGTCACGGGAGGATCACCACTAAGGAGAACAGAGAGGTTAGAGGATTTCCAGGGATCCAGTAGTTTGTCAGGTGATTGAGTTAATACCTGCTCAGGGGTGGAACAGATCAGCAGGAGGGGGATAACCCAGAGGGTCCAGAGGTTTGTCGGCAGGCAGAGGGCTGAGGGCTAAGGCAGAGACTGACCGAACGCAGGCAGGCAGATTCCAGAACTGAGTCACTTTCAGGTTTCAGGTTTTCAGACAGGTCAGGTTCTGTAGGCAGAGAGAGAGAACTGGATCAAGCAGGTTCAAGCAAAAAAAAAAAAACACAGAGATAAGATCAGGCAGGTTGGCTCAGGTCTAGCTGTACCATTACTGGCTAACACTCTGGCACTGGAGTGTCAGTCTCCGCCTCCTTAAGTAGGAGTCTCCTGATGAGCAGATTGAAGACAGGTGTAGCAGTCAGCTCATGCCCCAGGAGATCTTGTGCGCCCTCTGGTGGAGAAAGTGGACAAACCTCCAGATTCCAACACTCTTGGCTTTAGTTGAAGAATCCTCTAGTCTGTAAACAAGTCTTAGCTGTTTGTATATTAGTCAAGACTAGGGAAGTTTTATAGATTCTGTCCTTGTCTTAAAAACTGGGTCAGGAGAAAGAAACATCTAAAAGATAAATAATTTTCTTCAGGGTAGCTTTGCAGGGTAGGGATGAATTCAGTTGTCTTAATTTCTGCTAAACAAATCATAAAAGTTAACTAGCACACATTTACCTATTAGAGATCCCATAGATTAACTCTTATCAAAAAACAAAGGTTATCTTTAAAGATTGTCTTCCTGAACACTAAAAGAGTCGGTTCTCATTATTAGTTTGAGCTGATTCACAATGTTATTTCTCTTAGTTCACACAACTCTACATGATAAACAAGTATAAAATATTTGCAATTTAACTGGCTATGCATTTGCCCTATCTCTATCTAAAGGTAAATATTGCAAATGTCTATATATTTTTAAGTATTTGTAAGACATTTGACTTTAAAAATATGATTGTATTCTTATAGAAAAAGAATCAAACACTAATCACAGGTACAGTTTACAAATACTGTAGCTGAAGTTTAAGTTCTTCATCTGGGGCTCTGAGAAAAATGAGCTGTATTTATTATTCTACAAAAAACAATGGCTTCTATGATTTGTTAAATACTACAGTAAGTTGACTCTCCAAATAAGCCCATATATACTGTCTTAATTGCTCATTGCCTGGGGATTAATTAATAAAGTGAACAATGCCTACAATAAGAGAGCAACTGATCTCATTACAACCAACAATCCCCAGACTCTTAAAGAAACAGGGGTTCAAAAAATGGCTACTTTTCTGACCTGTAAATGTGTATTGGCCTACATACAATTACTGGACTATAAGCTGCTACTTTTTCCCATGCTTTAAACAATTAAATTATATGATGCTGTAAAAACTAATATTATAACCAAAAATCAAAGTTTAGGTTATTGGAGGTCAACAAAGTGTCAGTTGAGCAACTAGATTCAATACTGACATAGGCTGATATAACTTTTGTATATATATATATATATATATATATTATATATTTCTGCATAACAAAATTTTTAATTAAGTCATAGAAACAAAGTCCTTGTGGACATTTTAAAATGACAGTTTTGTTCTGCAATTATGAATGGCTTTACTATAACTATTAGAGCTTTCTGTTTTCTTAATGAAAGGAGACAGCATTACTATTTCTTTTACAAACTAAAACTCTGTGTTTATGTTCTGCTTCGTGAAAAATAAATAAGAAGGAAAAGTTTTTTGATTTTTCTTATTCTGTCAGTAAAAAAAAGGCCTCCTTGACAATACATATATATTATTCATATCACTCTCTTTTATCCTACTATCCATATTTCTCACATCTTGAAAATAAATGTTTCCCTAAATTTAAAGACCTCTTTGGAGAAATATTCAAGGTATTTCTTATTTCTTGCTTCTTTTCATTGGTCACTGTCTCACATGGTATCCTAGCAGCATCAACAGTTTTTCATTCTGTTTTAGTTGTTCAATATTAGTGCTGATTTATATCAGGATAAAGCTTAATTGATCTGCCAAAAGCACATTTCCTCACTCCTTTCCCGTTGTATTTGTTTTACCTTACATTATTAATTCATATCTGGTGGATGCACCTTACAAGACGCTTCTTCATATCTATACTGTCTGTTCTGTTTTACAGTGGTCGGGGATGCAAAAGAAATTGACTGGTTTTCCCCTACTGGTGATAAGATCCTCCCAAATCGGCCAAACATCTCTGTGAGTTCTACTGACGAGGCCACATCGGTTCTCACCATCTACCATGCCACTGTGGACAACGCTGGTACTTACAAATGTATCGCAAAAAATGGAGACAAGGAGGCCCAAGCTACAGTTCAAGTTAAAATCTTCCGTAAGTCATATCTAATTTTAACAGCTTTTTTCCAGAGACTTTGTTTAAGCATTTCTATCAGTGTTTTTCTATATTCCAATTAACATCACGGTATGAACTGTTCTGAGCCACCCATCCACACCTTAAGCACTCTTCAAGAAACAGACAGACGTCACAGAGGGTTATTCAAGCCATACTTCAGTATTACTTGGAAATCCATATGAGAAATAGTCACTCATAGAGGCTATATTTATGAAAAATATATAAATGTGCTAATCATATTAAATGTTAAGGCAAATGAACACTCAATGTGCTGTAAGAGCTCATTGGCAGGCATGTGGAAATTAAGTTGCATTATATTTATTGTAACTCCAAAGTGAAAACACTGGCACGGCTTCCTTTAGACGGGCTCTTTATTAACGCTGTGAAATCGACAGAAATAGAAGACAAAGTTTTAGATATCAAAACATTTACCTGCCACTTCGGAGGTCTTTAACAGTTAAATTCTTCCTCGTCTACTCTAAATTAAAATATTAAGTAATTAAAACAC